ATAATTATTATTTTGAGATCAGTGGGTCTAAGCGTGAGCCAGCGTAATAAAAGTTTTTATTTGTCTGAAAGAAAACTGCGCATGCTCATGTGATTATTTTTCCGTTCCTTTTTCCTTTCCCGTAGAAAAACGGATGAGTGGAAACTCACCTTTATAAGAAAACGGCCTGCGTTTCCAGACTAACTAAATACTATGACTATGATGCAATATAGTTTTTCATATTAAAATAAAATAAATTGGCATATTATTTTTTATAAGTTAGTTTCTACTCCTTATTCAAGTTTTAAAGTTTTGAAGAAAAAAATTATTTTTTTTAGAATACTTAACAACAATCTTTGTTTAATATGAAAAAAAAACCTTATCCAAATAACAATTAAGATAGCGGTGTTTAATTAAAATTTGAATCAACAAAATCTAATGGACACCATAACAAATCCAGATTTTAAATAGACACTTCGGGGTGGTGACTCTTTTTTCATTTATCCCTTTATTCCACTTGTAAAAACAATACAATATTGTATTAAGGTTATTAAAAACATCAATATAACACTGATTAGTATAACCAAATAACATTATATCAATCACTTAACTTTAATCGATAAAGTAATAAACTGAAAAATGAATTATATCATGAGTTCATTATATTATATGCTGACCCTAACCCTAACACGAATTCATAACGTTATAAATTCAAGATAGCAAATGAAACTTTTTTGCCGGATTTTATGAGTCAAAAAGTCATCGTTTTATTTTAAAACAGCTTTTTAAAATTCTCCCGCAAGATATGAACGATTAAAAAGCACGTCACCCGCACACGGTGTATGTATAGTGTTTTACTAAAAGTTATTTATGGTTTTTATTGTGAAATCTTGGCATGGATACTTTATAAACCCTTTTACATTCTGCTGTTTTTTGTCTCGAAGAAATGTCTATTAATATCAATAGAACATTTGATCGTGTAACCTTTGCTACTGATTCTCTACTAAAGTTAACAACAAGTTTTGATTTTGTTGTTGCACTGCGTGTAATAAGAAATGTTTTTTTATATAACACTTTTGAATACACAATTGTTGCAGGCAAATAATAATGATTTTTTTTTATGGTTCGAATTTTATTCAGGCATTAAAAGATGTACCCAGCCGGCACATTAAGTTGTATATGCGCATTAGAAACTTGGTTGAATACGCATTTTAATGGTATGTATGTTAGCCATTTTATTGTGTCAATCATTAGTAATGCGCTTTAGATGCGTAAACTAATGAATAACCGAGTATGCAATAGACATCTACATAAAACCTGCATTTGAAACTCTTTAAAATACAAATCATAGTAACTTGATATTATTCAATACGATGTTTTCTTGGTATTAAAGTCGCATTTAAAACTTTCCAGAATACGTGTTTTTTACGAATGTTAGTCATTTTATCGAGTAGAACACGTATCAGAAATACGTTTCAGACGCATATAAAAATGGACACATGCACACGTTTGAAACGTGTTTGTATAACATATATACATAAAAGACCACACGCATTGTTTCTAAAAATAGCAACAAAAATGTATGCTTAAAAATTTTATTAAATTAATTTGTACATTATTTGTAAGCACATATAAGTTATGGTTTTCATAATATAATAGCAGTGCATTTTATATTAAATTTACTAAAAGGAAATTGCTCCAAATCCCTTAAAATATACTAATGTATTATTTACCCTGTATTATAAAAATGCGTCATTTTTTACAGTCTATAACTAACTGTCAATACAACAAAAATACTCTATACGATATAATATTCAAAATGTGCTGTGGAGTTGGAGTTGCGGAGCTGCGACATTTTTAGTGGAGTCGGAGTCGCTAAACAAAATCGCGACTCCGACACCAATAGTAAAATTTCCCGGTATTACACGGGCATGTACAAAACATTCAATTAACCTTATGTTCATACTAAACTTTAAAAAACGTTTCTAAAATTTGTCAAAAAAGAACTTTTTAACTTATTGCGTTCAAAAATTTTGTTTTGGAGTTGGAGTCAGAGTCGAAGTTGTACTCAAAAAATTTCAACAACTGGAGTCGGAGTCGTTACTTTTTTTTTTACGACTCCAAACCCCTGAAAATTACATTAACAGATAAACAATTGCAACCGATTTATTGAAAGTTTTGACTACATTCGCATTCGGCCGTACATTATAAAGAAGGACGGTTTTGAAGACATGCAACACTTTGGATGTTTTTTGATATTTCTTCAAAGCTCAACAAAAAAACGGATGTTTTTTGATAGTTTTCAGCAAGCTTTATGTGAATAAAATTTGAGCAAACTCGCTCAAGCTTTTATTCACGTAAAGCTGACCAGTTACTGAGTAAAAGCATTTGCTTTTTTTTATTCACCTGGCCTAGTATGTATTCATACTAGGCCAGGTGTCCTTTGATTTGGATGTTTTTCTTAAAGTATAATAATAACCTGATTAATAAAACTCATCGAAAAGGACTTCGCATTGTTCATAAGAGACTTGATCTCTCATTAGATAAAATTCTAAAATTAGAAAATAAACCAAGCATACGCCTTAGATACGGTAGGTTTTTAATACCCAAAATTAAACAAAAATTCAGATGTTTTTCGATAGTTCTTTCAAATTTAACAAACCTATATCAGAAAAAAGTAAACAATTTAAGCAAAAAAAAAAATTCTTACTTAAAACTGAATGCATGCAATCAGTTTAAAGTGAGACACATACCACATCCACAAAAATTCAAAAAGTTTCAAATGAGTCAGTTTTATTTTTCTTTATTCTTTTTCGCTCATTTTGCCTTGATCGTCATCCTTAACAAGACAAACAGCAAAGAACTTAATATTTTGTATAACACTTTATAACTGGATATGTAAAAGCAAAGATTAATAACAATATAAAAATATGCCTCCATTAACATATATATATATATATATATATATATATATATATATATATATATATATATATATATATATATATATATATATATATATATATATATATATATATATATATATATATATATATATTTATATGTTGTTTGTTTAATTTAAATCTAATATGTTGTTTTTATTTGTTTCTTATAATTTTATTTATTGAAAGTTTTAACCTGCATAATATTTATATTTAAGATTATTTCTTTGTTTTCAATTTTTCCATTTAGGTTAAAACTAAATGGAAAAATTGAGTATTAGGCATCTTATACTTTTTAATTATTTAAATTTAAGTAACATTTAAAATGAGACTATTTTCAGAGGCAGGTAACTGGCAGGCAGATGTACCGACTGCCGGTTGTCTCTTCACTTAAAAAAGTCACTTTAAAGTTGCAAACAAGATGAATGTTACAAACATGTTTTATTTATTGCAAAAAAACAAAGCTTTAAAAACAGAGACTTAATGCTACTTCGGAAAATATTTTAAATTGATATCACTGTTCCTTTGCGAGATCATATAAGTAATGAGTTAAACAGAAAACTCGATTATACAACTTTCAAGTCTTATAAAGCTACTGTTTTTTGGTTCCTTCTTTCTAATCTTTGGTTTCTTCAAAAAAAATTGAAGAAATTCAGTGTTCTTGTTATACTACACTAAAAGAGTTATCAAATTCTTTATCAAAGGTTTTGTTAGACTTTTTTTATTGCCATCCCAAAGGTTTTATAAGGTGAGCTCAATATGTGATATATTTGGTTAAATTATAAGGTGAGCTCAATATATGATATATTTGGTTAAACTTCACTAAATTGGTTAAATTTCGAAAATGAATTTCTATCTAATATTACTGAAACGTTGCAACAAAATTGCTTTATTACTAAAAGTAGAATTAATAATAAACATTTCAGCACAAAATAAGTTATTAGTTCCTGAGTATTTTAGAAAAAAAGAATGGACCCTTTTTTGTCTTTTATCTTGTTGATGCGCCAAAAATTCGATAGTTTTTCTCACTTTACTGTTCATAATTTTTAATTACTATGAAGAGAAAGTTTGAGTACCTGGGCCAGATTTTTTCAATTTCCAAATTCAAGGCTCAAGACTTGTCTAAAAAAAGTGAACTGATATAATCACATCTCTAATTACTTTGTATTGATTTAAGTATAATGACTTAAAATGCAAACGTCCGTGATGTAGACGGGTTTAAAAATTAGTGGCCCTAGGTACAATAAGCTTTTTTTTAATTGTACCTTTAATTGTACTCTAAAAATTACGTTTAACTAAAATAAAAACTTAATAAAATGACAACAAAGATAGGCACATTTAATTTGATTAAAAATTTGTTTAATTATAGATTGTGTTTAACAAATTTATTTAGTGTTACTTGATTGCAGCACTGAAATAAATAATAAAATTGATTAATAGTTTTGAGAAAAATTGACAAAACAGTCAACGCGTAAAATGTTAGTCCCAAAACAACCGCGAGAAAAAAATTTGGCGCAAAATCAAAACAAACGCCAAAAAAAATAACGCTCTGCACTATTATAAACTCAACAGTCTACTTCGTTATCAAGTATATTTTTATAAGAGTGACACACATATATGGCCCTAAATACAAGAAAACTATATGGCTCTAGGTACAAAATTTCTCATGAAAAATACTATCTATTAACAAACCCGGATTGAAAGGATATTTATTGAACATTGCAATATGTTTCCAATAAACAAAAAAGTGAAAACTTTTGTATTACATAATGAGAAAAAAAAAGACAAAATTGTTATCAAACCGTTGTTTGATAACAATTGAGAAAATTGCCGATAACCGGCAACTTCCTATTTCGACAAAAATTTTTATTTAATGTTTATTATGATTAATATTTTTGCTAACGATTATAATTAAAATAATTATTGAAACTTTTATTATAAAGTCAGTAAACAATTTATTTATCAGTAAACAATTTTTATGTAATTTGGCTCACATAGCAGTTTTTAGTCTGCATAACTTTTTTAAAACAATTTATATCTATTGTTAATCTATTTTTAACTACGATAAAACAAACAATGTCTGAGTTATAAATCTTTACAAACAGCTTTAAATTTTTATTAAACAAACCAAACAAAGCCTTTTTAAACTCGCGTAACTACACGAGGCTAAAAAAGCCAATTAAGTATATATATATATTTAATCTACTTGTAAGTCAATTGAAATTTTTTATATATAATTTTTATGAGCAAACAGTTATACAGTTATATATGCATATATATATATATATATATATATATATATATATATATATATATATATATATATATATATATATATATATATATATATATATATATATATATATATATATATATATATATATATATATGCTAAATTACGTTTTTTTTAGTCTTAGTTACTGTTATACCTTTTTAAAAGGTACTCAAGGTTATTCCACAGCATAACTAAAAATGGATCTGTGGAGTTAGGAAGTTTTTTTCTCCGTATAGCTAAAAAACCAAAGCAGTGAACCAATCATTTAAGCAGTTCTAAGTATACGAAGTTCTTCGTCAAGATAACTCAGCAAAAAAAGAATATGATTTTGTAGATTGGGATGTCCAAAAGAATGTGAAACCAGATTAAATACACTCATTTCTTTATCGTTTTTTCGCTTCTCTAATCCAAAATATATGTCTAATAAAACACATCTAAAAAATAAAAGTATATAAGAAAAAAAATAATATATGCAAGAAATTGTATAAGATTAAAAAAATATATATATCCTTTCAAATAAAAGTTTCCCTAAAACACATATTGTATTTTTTAATTTGTGTGGGTTGTCTATAACCCGATGCTTGCATCGCGTTCCACAATTTATTTTATTTTTAAATATTTATATTTAAACAAATTTGTAATTGTTACAGCAATAAATATTACTATTACTATTACTACTATTACATATTGACGCATATGCGTCAATGTGTTTTAGGAAAACTTTTATTCGAAGGATAATGATTTGAAGAAATTATTTGAAGGAATGTTCTTACGATAACTTTTATCAATACATGAAGTTAGTTGAGCCAGTGGCGGATTAAGACTTCTTGGGGCCCGAGGCTATTTTTATTTTTGGATGCCTTTTTATGGGCCAGAGCCTAAAAATGACTTAAAAAAAAAAAAAAAGTTCCTCTAAAATTTTTTTGGGCCCCTAAATTTGCGGGGCCCGAGACTATAGCCCTAGCCCCCTCCTTTCCTTGATCCGGCACTGAGATTTTAAAAAAGGACATGTTTAAAAAAACAAATAAAGTATTAATGAGACAAGTTCACGTTATTTGTGAAGAATTTGTATTAGGCCAATATATTTATATATCCAATATATTTTAAATTAAAAGAAAATTTTTAACTAGCAAAAAAAAAAATTAATTAACTTTATTTGTTAAAGTTTAAAAACTTCCTAAGAAGAGTTAAAATCTCTACGAAAGATCTTTTCACCATTAATGTATAAGGAATCAATAAACTAAACCAAATAAAGTTAATTAATGTAATTAACTTTAGCACAATAAAGCAATAAAATGCAAAATAAATCAAATAAAGTTAATTAATGTAATCCGAACGTTTGTTTTGAACATAAATTTTTAATTTAAAACTTTGAAATTGATTTTTAAAGATAAATTTTTTTAATAACCGTTAATAATCGACTGTAATCAAATACACAATAGTTGTCAACTGTGTGGCTCCACAACTATTGCGTGCTGTTTATCTTAAACTTTAAGCAGTTAATCATAAAAACCCTATTGTGCTGGTTTACTGAAAAACAAGAAGTGAAGTTGCTGTCTGCTACAGGTAAGTAAAAATGAAGTATTATCTAAATCACATCATAGTCTAGAAGCTGCAAGGTATCCTCACTTTCTTTTTCAATAAACCATTTTTCCTTCACTAAAATGGCACTAAAACTCACGCACAGCAATTTCAAATTCCAAAAACTTTCCGGGTTTCACACCCCAGGACACTCGCCATGGAGGTGCTGGACCTTCTCATCCACATGGAACAGGGATCCCCAGCTTAAATATAACTTTAAAAAGTTAAATTAAGTGCATTTGGCTGATAGATTGCCATTCATTACTTCAGTTGATATCAGGGGTAGGTCTTTGAGAGAGCTAACTTCCAGATATGGAGCAAACTCCAAACGTTTGTATGTTTATACTTATGTTAAATAAGGATGCTTTGCAAAAAAATGCTATGATTGGAGCCTGGGAAAAAAAAAGCCAAAATCTTTTGCCCCCTGTCATATATGTGAGAGCATTAAGTAGATTAAATATTTTTCGTATTATTCTCAATTAGACTTGTATTCATCGATAAATTTTAAATTTCATAGTATAATCTCCCACGGTTTAAAAATTATCACCATATAAAATTTGTAACCCCCTCAAACTGAGGGAGGTTCAAACTTTATATGGTCATATTTTCTGAATGTTAAAATATTATACAACGAAACTTAAAATTTATCAACAAATGTATGTCTAATTGAGAATAATACAAAGAAATTTTTATCAACTTTTTTCTATCACGTTTGGGGCAGGGTTGCGAAAGTTTTAGGGCTTTTTTGTGCCCAGACTCCAATTATTGCAATTTTTTGCAAAGCATTCTTAGTTGTCATTTGCATCAACATACAAATGTTTAGAGATAACTCCATGTCTGGAAGTTAGCTCTCTCAAAGACTTAAAAGTGCTAGATCCACCCCTGGTTAATATAAGATTTGTAGTTATAAAGACTTTGATCTAAATAAAACTAAAATTCTAAATATAAAAAAAAGTAAAATTATAATTCGAAATTAAAAAGTTTGAACTTTACACCAAAATCATCTAGGTTTAGTCGCCATGTAACTTTGGTCATTTAAGAATAAATAATAAAAATGAATAAATAATAATAAGAATAAATAAAAAAAAAATTGAAATCGACTAAATAATTTGTATGCAAAACAAAAAAGTTGAAATTATTCATACTAATGCAATCAAAAATAAGCAAAGTATTGAATAAAATGATCACTTTTATTATTGAGTCACAAAGTTCATTGTATTTGAAAATTTTCGATTTTCAAATATTAATTACTCTTTCTTAAAATCAGTGAAATTAAATAACTTTAAAAACTTTAAATAAGCTGAACTTTAATTACTAAACAGTCATCTAAACAAATTTGCTTCCTAAAAATATTTTTTGATTTTTGCTTTTTAATAACTTTTTTTTTTTTTTTTTTTTTTTTTTATCAAAGAGGTTAATAAAAAAAAACTTTGAAATTTAAATAAAAGATGTTATTTCATGAGTTTAACATCACAAATTTAACATCAACTTGAGAAAACATTCATAAATGTTGATATTAAATTTGTGATATTGCGATATGTTGTAGCGATATGTTATTTGCGATTTGTTATTGCGATATGTTATTGCGATATGTTATTGCGATATGTTATTGCGATATGTTATTATTATTATTTTTTGTTTGCTCTTTAGGTGCCCCAAGAAGACCTAACGGTCTCGTGACAGAGTACCGCGAAAGTGCATTTAACCAACAAGTTCTCGCCTCTTTCCTTACCCTGGCGAAAAAATATGTCCAGAGCTCGTTTCGAACCTGCATCTCCTGCTTTTAGCAAGCGCTGTAACCACTGCGCCACGGCCGCACAAATAATAAATAAATACTTAACTTTCTAAAAACCGACTTAATATGCTAGTAGTGAAAAAATAATTATATTAGTTTTATCTACTTCAATTAACATGAGTGATTTACCAACAATGTTGTATAAAGTCCGAAATTCTAGCGAAGCCCAATGTCATTACGCATAATCTAATAAACTTCCAGGCTTTAAGCGTAATACCTATTCCACACACACACACACATATCCTAACAAAGATTTCAAAAAAATATAGAAATCAAATTTTAATAGAGACAGAGAACGAGAGATAGTAACCGCGTACTCGCTGTCTTTAACTCCCTCTCCCCTATTCCTCTCTATGTACGCATCCATACAATTTTAGATAACCCCTACCCCTTATTTGCGTACGTATTTTATGGAAGGCCCCAAACTTGTCAAAAATAAATGTTTTATATAAAAAGTATTATTGACAAGCATGTTTATTTGCGTTGTATGATATCACAATGAAGAAATTTGGTTTTGTTGCAGTGTTTTTTAAAGACAATTTGCATTTTAAAGCATTAAAAATAAATTCTATTAAAAGCAAAAAAGTACAAAGAAAAGCATACTTTGTTACTTGGTTGTCCTTTTCGCGGTCGATTAATGCTTCCTTTCGCTTATTATAAACTGAGTTATTGTCCATGATTTCTTCAATTGATTTAAACGCAAACCAAGATGCTGGAAAATATTTATAGTTAATATCACTTATACCTTTTGCAAGAGTAAGACATTCTTCCTCGCACATTTTTGACAGAACTGTATGCTCGGAACGTTGGTTGTGTTGATTAGTTTTTATATCGTGCTTTTGAAGCAATACTCTAGCAGAATTCTTTGCCAGTCGTACATAAGATATCATATCAACTTTAGTCAAACACTCTGGCTGGTTAGTGCGCCGACAAAGTTCATTGCTAGTGATATTGTATCTAAAATTATTTTCTATATAATAAAAAAAAAAAATTAAACATTTTAGTAATTAAATGAATACTGGAAAACAAGAATTTAAAAAAGGAGAGTGAGTGGTGAGGCAACCTTAGTGTCTATCATTTTATATACTCATAGTATCTACTACTATATTTACAAAAAATGTTCTCTAATGTTTTTGTAAGTTTAGAGGAAGAGGTTCGTAATAATAAACAGCTTGTGACATTAGGTAAAAAAAATTTACTGTTACAATATATTGGATAAAATATTTTATGGTTAAAATGTGTCGGGTAAAAAGTTTCAGTGTTACATTGTTACAATGGATAAAATATTGCTAAAGAATTTGTCATTAAACTATGTCTCCTAAATTAAAACAAATGCTACCTTGGGTCTCTGCATCCAGGTAAGCTCAGAATACCATGAACTTGACATGCAACTTCTTCTTTATTTGGTTTATTTTTTTTAAGGGAAAAAATTTTATCCGAAATAAGTTTTCTTTTTCTAACCAAAGAACTTTTCGTCGACTCTAATACGTATTCGATTGAAAGCTGTTTCTGATAAATGTTTTCTTTATGCTTTGTTATCTCTTCAAAATAACGAATGTGACACAAACACGATTTTTCAAAACACAAAGGTGTTTTACACAGCTTTTTAAAAATACTTTTATTTTTTAAATGCCTGACATTTTTGCTTGGTGTCACTAGTTCAAAATCTATAGCATTAGGTGTTGAAGCCGGAGATGAAGGCAGTGATTGCGTAAGTAACTTGTAACTCAATGTTTTCCAAGCATTTCGAAGCTCCTCTGCTCTTTCTGGATTTGTTACTAATACATTTAAAAAAGACATTGCTTTTGCATGAAATTCAACGTTTGAACTGAACACTTTCTTTATAAAGAATGCATTAATTACTAATGCTGTTGACTTTTAAGAACAAAGTATCAAAATCACGAGACATATCCCCACTTCCAATAATATTATTACGTTTTGTCAGATGTGTCCTTGTGTCTGGGCGCCAATTAAGACTCCGCATTTTTATTTTTCACAATTTAAGTACAAAATAAAAATGCAAGTGTTTACTTTACCCTCATCTGCTTTAGTCGCTCGGTTATTGTTTTTTCAAGTCATCAAAGAAAAAATAAACATAAAAAAATATTTTTAAACAAATTTAAGAAAAAAAAAATTACATTTAACAGTTTATTTTAATTATTATTTAAGCATTAAAAAAAATTTTTTTTTTTTATGCATTTCCATTTTGTGTTTTAGATGTCTAAAAAACATATTAAAAGTAAATTTTTTTAGACGTTAAAAGTATTTGTTGTGGACTATGAAGTTTTATTTAAAGTTACAGAATGGCAATTAATAGTATAGAATTAAACATGAAATTATTCTCATTATATATATATATATATATATATATATATATATATATATATATATATATATATATATATATATATATATATATATATATATATATATATATATATATATATATATATATATATATATATATATATATATATATATATATATATATATACATATATATATATATATTTTAATTTCATAAGTTTTTTTTAATGTTTGACATTACTGACATAGATCAGTCTAGCTGTATTTGCAAAGCACACTGCCACATCATTTAACTAATCTATTTGTTCAATTTTTGCTTAAGCAAGCACCTTCTCTTAAACAGCAAGACAATGCAGATTAGCAAATCTTCTTAAATTTTTATCCTATATAGCTTCTTAAAATAACATAATTGGTTACAATTTATCCACAAAAGCTACAAGAGAACAAAATCTTACAATGTGTTTGTTGCAATTCATATATGCGTATATTAGTTTTATTTAAAGTTTACAATTGAGATTTTTAAATATCTTAGATATCAATTAATACCAGAAATCAAAATATATACTCATACTCTAACATTAACGTCATTACTTCATGATTATTAACTCTTAAACAATCAGTTTTACTTAATAGATAAGTTTTTTTTTTTTTTGTTACTTAGGTGCCCCAAGAAGACCTAATGGTCTTGTCACACAGCACCGCAGAAGTGCATTTAACCAGGAAGTTTACGCCTTCTTCCTTACCGTGACGCGAATATATGTCCACAGCTCGTTTCGAGCCTGGATCTCCTGCTTATAAAGCAAGCGCTGTAACCACTGCGCCACGGCTAACACTAACTGCTGTAACCACTGCGCCACGGCTAACACTAACTGCTGTAACCACTGCGCCACGGCTAACACTAACTGCTGTAACCACTGCGCCACGGCTAACACTAACTGATGTAACAACTGCGCCACGGCTAACACTAACTGCTGTAACCACTGCGCCACGGCTGCACAATAAATAAGAGTATAAATAAGTATAAGTTTAGCATAAGTAGAACATAGGGTTACAGTGGTGCTGGTTATAACTCGATTTCAAGATCATTTGCTGTACTAAAGTGGTAGCGGATGTAATAGGTTATGGTATTGCAATAGGTTATGGTATTGCCAACTCAATTAAATAATTTAACTCCCAACAGGTACTTGCTTTTAAAAGTTACGTTCTGAACGTCTTTTAAATGTTTTTTTAAGCGTTTTTGAAATGTTCAAAGTTTTAATGGAATAATCCTAAATAAAAACGAAATTTTGAAACAACGGTCATTTGAATAATTAGTGTGTCAAAATATGGCCATTTATTCATTCTTTTCATAATAATCTTCGTTTACGAATGCCTCGCTTACATAAATTTAAGTTAAAATTTTGATATCATCTGAAAAATAGAAGTTTTCTCGGAATTATGTTATGGTTTCTAATAATTATTTACAAAGAATAAATAAAAATGAGAAAAATTTAAAACTTGTATAGCAAACTTCAGTACAATTAAATATATATTATATATAAATATATATATAGAACGTGTAAGCAAAACATCAGTTGCCCAAACAAACAGCTATTTAAAACTTTTATGACGCGTCAACAAAGATTCATTTAAAAGCTCAATTCAATTGAATAGAGTCTACATAAACAAAAACCTTGCAATTTTGTCTAGACAAATTAGCAAGGTTTTTTTTCCAATAAAATAACATTAAAAAAAAGTTTAATATATTTTTTTTAAGTTTTTAACATGCATAAAAGTATTAAAACAAACAACAACAACAACAACAAAAAATGGCATACTCTATAGTAATGTATAGTCTATAGTAATAGTAATGTAATGTATAGTCTATAATGTATAGTAATAATGTATAGTAATAGTATAGTAATGTATAGTCTATAGTAATGTATACTCTATAGTAATGTATAGTATAATGATATACTCTATAGTAATGTATAGTAATAAATGACATACTCTAGAGTAATGTATAGTAATATAATTATCTTAATTATAATGTCAAATTAAAAAAGAACTGCGCTGTTGGTATAGACCAACAGCGCAGTTCTTTTTTAATTTGACATTATTATTAAGATAATTATATTACTATACATTACTATAGCAACGACTTTAGCAATGACTTTTTTTGAGGAGAACGAGGAGCTGGCTGATATTTTTAAAATTTCTTTTAAAAAGGTTACACATATTCTAAATAAATACAACTTTATGAAAATAGGTTACCCATTTTGTAGGAAATCATTCAATTCATAAAATAAAATAAAAAATGAAAAAGTAGTCCTGGAAAGGGGTAATAAAAACTCTAACATAAAATCTATTGTAATATAAAAAAACTTGAGATAGTTACGTTTTGTTCGGTGACAATGAATGTGATATTAAAGTAAACACGTTGACAAAAGTTAAAATCATCTAAAGTTAGCTCTTGTTATGAAACACCGCAAAAAAGTATTTAATGAAAAAGTTCCCGCCAACTTCCTCCGACGTTGCTTTTATAGCCAGAGATTATCGGATTATTTTATAAATTAGAGATTAAATGTTTTCTGACCTTTTGATTTCAAGGTCAGCGTTTCTAATCACTGCTCCACGACAACTCATCTTGTTTATACGGTTGCTTAATATGATCGTATCGTCAGTCTAATTGTCAGATTAGGTATACATATCTGTTTCTCTACAGACCTTAGTAGAAAGTTTTATAATTTTCATTAGTACATTTAAAAAATGTATTTATTATTTATTTCTCTATAGACCCTGTTGAGCGTGTTTTATAATTTTAACCACTGCATTTTACACTTTTTATGATAATGACTCCCTGAAATTAACTACTGAAATAAAAGTAAACAACTCATGAATCCATCTTTTATACATAGATATTTAATACACTGTCTCTTGATATTCTGTGTATTTTTTTAAATTTATTTTTACAGAAATTCTAGTAAATATTTTCGAATAAATTTTAGCGATATAAAATAAAATATGAAACAAATATATTTGAATGAAAATTTTGAAACTACTTTCAATTTTAAGATAAAAACACAGAAAGTAGGGGTTATTTGTATGTAGTTATAGATATCTAGCAAAAGTCTGAATTAGTTTTGTCATCGAGTCCCTGGTAATTTAAATGGAGTACTTTCGTGCTAAGCATAAAAGCCGCATCTAAAAAAAAAAAAAAAGTCGTCCAACCTTGTAATAGTATGTTAAATTGTATAAAAGGCTTGTTAATTTATTGTTGAACTATTATTCTATAAAAATTAAAAATATTAAAATCAATTATAAAAATATTAGGTACTTTAAAACGATTTAATATACGATTTTAAATTTAAACTATTTGAAACGATTTAACTTACGACTTAACGATACAATTTAATATGCGATTTAACGTACGAATTAGTTCGCGCAACTTTCTTGGCATTTTTGCTTAGCAAGACTAAGAAAACCTTTTTCACTATTTTGGGCTAAAAAATTTCCGTATAAGTTTTTTTTCCGTAATCTTTAACTAATGTAATTTTATTAAAAATTTGTTAAATACTCTTTATTGTTGTATTACTTTTTGTCTAAGAAATAAAGCAACTACAAATATCGGGTTGGAAGACGTGATTCACAGCACACGCAGAAAGTCTATTACTCTAATTGCTCTCTAACGGGTCGGAAGACTTGACATTTTTTTATTAGTGTTTTTATTGTTATTTCAAATACTTCATATTAAAGTTCTCCAAATGTTAAAAAGACATCAAAAGCTTTAACTTTCAAATGAATTGATGTTCATTGTATTTTAGAAATAAGTTAAAGACCTATTCTTGCAAAATATTATTGAATTCTTTAGAGTTCTTTTTTATTATGAATATATTTGGAGGTAATTGGTCAAATTATTTTTACTTTTACAAATAACTTCTTTTATAATACAACATTATTTTTAGCAACTACCCACCCCCTTCAACAGTGTTCATGTTTTAAAAAAGTGCACATGACCAAATGAAGTTTCCTTGGCAAAATGCTTGTATAGTCTTCACAAAAAAGCGCTTCACAAAATATGTAAAGCATGTCCCAGCAAATAACAGCGTTTTTTTCGTTTTTAAATTAAATAAATAAATAAACAATTCTATGTAAATACAAAAAATTTTAATTTTTCATAGTTGTAAACCGATAAAATAACTAACTAACGGTAAAAACTATAAGCCTTTCAAAATCATTATTAAACTATAAATTAGTTGTAAGTTCATAAAATTAACTATAATAGTTAATTTTATGAATTTAGAATCAATGTTTACTTTTTTTGCTTAATCATTACTTTAATTATCAGCTATTTATTGTATAACAGTATATACTATATAGTTTAATTATATTATGTTACTTAATCATATTATATAATACAAACATATTTTATAATTCTGTATTATATAGTAATGGTTATATTATACAATATTTTCGCGTATTACACAATATATATATATATATATATATATATTTATTTGTTACATAATATATTATATACTACCTAACTAAATGTTGTATAAATACATTATATAGAAGTATGCTCCTTAATCTTGCTAAAAGTTAAATAAAAAGCAAAATTTAGTTTAATATAAA